AATTCAGAATCGCGACTGAATTCCACCCCTGCGTCAGCCGCCATCTTGAATTTAAGGAAAAACCGTTTTTGCTCAATATCTCGGCCATTTTCAACAACAAAAATGGTAAGGATTTAAGTTGTTGCAAATGCGATTTCCTACAACTTCTTTTATTATAAATTTTATCGTGCGATCGATATTTTTCAAGTTAAGGGGGAAAATAGTGACAAAGTATAGTTATTGAATTATCTTTCCAACTTTGTTTATGTATATTTATGTCGTAAAGTCAATAACAAACGAGATAATGCAATAATTTTTCTTTGTCACTATTTTCCCCTTAACCTGAAAAATATCGGTCGTACGATAAAATTTGTAAAGAAAGAAGTTGTAGAAAATCACATTTTCAACAACTTAAGCCCTTACCATTTTTGTTGTAAAGTTGAAAATGGCTCAAGATATTGAGCAAAAACAATTCCTTTGAAACCAACTCCCACAAGGTCCTACGCTCGCGTCTTTACCGCAAGCGTAGGACCTTAAATATTGGTAGTAGCGAAAAAATCAAAGAGATCAAAATTGTAGAAAATATAATTCTTTCCAACTTTCCAATTATTTCCAATAATTATACTTTGTCACTATTTTCCCCCTTAACTTGAAAAATATCGATCGCACGATAAAATTTGTAATAAAAGAAGTTGTAGGAAATTGCATTTGCAACAACTTAAGTCTTTACTATTTTTGTTGTAAAGTTGAAAATGGCCGAGATATTGAACAAAAATGATTTTTCCTTAAATTCAAGATGGCGGCTGACGCAGGGGTGGAAGAATTCAGTCGCGATTCTGAATTTACACTACTATTGACCCCCCCTAAAGGTTAGAACAATAAAATTGTGGTCCCTAATTTTTTCCTGGTTAAATGACAACCCGACTGGGCTAATAAGTACTATTGAAAACTGGATACCTTCTTAAATTGTTGAACTGTCAAAATCAAATGTCAAATACTGACATTTACAATTTGACATTTGCTTTTCCAGATAATAACAATGGATTCGCTACATTACTGATGTTATGCCAATAATGTAAACAATTGAAATTTTACTGATTCGACAGACTATTATTACAAAGCCGACCTGATCTAGCTGATTATGGTGCATGTAAATTAATAAGAACAAAGCTGAAAAAACATCAATTAACACTTACCTGTACTAGTCTGCCAAAAACTAAGTTTATTTTCACCACAGGCGTAACTAACCAGGAATTTACCGTCAGGACTAAAACTGAGGGCTGTAACGGCAGACGAATGTGCATGAATTGTGGTACACTTTCCTTGACGAAGCTCGTAAAGGGTCAATGACCCTATATGAGAGCCAACTAAAAACAATAATTACGCAATCGATCTTGAAATATTCCAAATCATTCAAATCATACAACTTATGAACTTTAAAGTGGATAAAGACTTACCTGCTATTCTCCTTGTTGCGGGACAGTGAGAGACTTGATTAAACCTGCAAACTGCTGGAAAAACTTCCTGTAAACCTTTATTTTTTAATTGACTAGGATCCAAACAATGAAGAATAATATCCATTAACTATAAAACGTAAGAATGAAAAATAGTATATATCCGTCGAATGTAAGTTTACCTCTACGAGAAGTTCAGACATTTCGTTTTGCATTTTTTCTATCAATAATTCCACGCCTCGCAATATCTCCGGTTTTGCCTTGTGCAGAACATTATTATTCATGTTAATATTTAAAGTTTGTGCATTTTGTTGCATTGCGTTGTACCGTGCCACCTCTTTCGCCATTGTGGTAATAAATGCCGCTGGTCTAAAAATACATATTTGAAGTGTAATTAAAGTTTTCCCCTACACTTAATCCTTACCTAGCAGTAGCTATTAGTGTTAAAGCATGCCTAGCAGTCCGACACGAGTCTGCTTGTGGTGTTAAAGGTAAACCGTAAGTCATACTCGGAACCAATCTGTCTGCTTCTGAACACAATTCTAGGAGACCTACGATTTGAATTTACTCGAAAACTTAAACTTAATTTCCTTTGTTTTTTTTATCTCACCTAATAATACCTTACTAATATCTAAAAAAGGGGCCCACACGGTGAAACCTCTACCGATCAAATCTATGGCGGCCCTTCTCAGTGGAATGTGTGCAGGTAGTTTTGGAGATGGCGGAGCCAGTAGCAAATGAGATAATGCCATTGAAGTCAGTCTTGCTAAATTGTTATTTCCAGGACCTACAGTAGAAAAAAAAATTGATATGCCCCGTATATTAATGTTGAAAGAAATTTTCTTGGTAGCACAAAATTTTAGGCAAACTCTTTGTCAATAACATTATCCATAGTAAAAATCGCAGAACACACTTTAAGTGGACTAACTAACAAAATTAACAGCTGTAAACAAATTATTTGACAGATTTCGCTCAAATTTCGCATCAGAGTAGAGTACAATGCTACAAAGCTTTCGTAAATGTTCACATGCCATGTGGACGCCGAGCTTAGGCAACCCAACATTGCACGACTGGTACTGCAACGAAAAATATTGATTCGTCTATAATGAACAGTAACAAACCATTACACCCAAAATTCCCTCAAAGCTGCACGGGTGTGCGCATTAATTTTTCGCAAGTTGCGCAGCTGTTTTTGCATTCTGCGCACAATGGGTTTGTCCACCACTTTTTTAAAATTTCATTTTATAAATCAATTGCATCTAAAAATGGCAAAAATCCAAATTTCACTAAAAAAGTAACATTTAGAGGGTCTAAAAAATTTTTGAGCATTTTTGCGCACATATATTTTTATATCGCACAGTCGGCAAAAAAATTAAAGGGAACATTGATTATGCCTGTGCTCGAGATAATGCGATCACTGTTTGGTTGAATAGAACCTAATGAAAAATTACACCGATCACAGCCAGAGTAATCATTTATGAAAGCTCTGGACCAACTTTCCATCAAAAAAGAAATTTAAATCTACTTTACATATAGAGTAAAGGTAGCTTAAAAATATGCATTATTTCGAAATAATTAGCAGAGCCTTGGATTTTCATAAAACAATTTTTGCAATTGCCTTGAAATGGCTTATAGAAAAAGGTTATAAACTTATATTTGTACGCTAATTATTATTTAATTGTTTAAATAATAAAAAATGGTTCTTCAAAGATTATTTTAAATGTACTGAATAAGAATATAATGTTAAAAAATAAAAATTCAAAATTGCTGATCCAATATGGCCAACTTTTTTTTAAACAATTTATTAAGAAATGACACTTTTCAAAGCAATTTTAATCAAATTGATATTATAGGGGTTTTAGAAGTCGCTGAACAAGAATATTATGTCAGAAAATGAAAATTCAAAATGACTGATCCAATATGGCCGACTTTTTTAAACAATTTATTTAAAAATTAAATTTTCAAAGTAATTTTACTCATATTGATATTTTTAGGATTTTTCAGATCATTGAACAAATATAAAATGAAATCAACATTCTCCCTTCCCTCCTCACCAGGTGAGCTCCATTCACCGAGCAGATGTTTTCTCTAACTCTTTCTAATCTTCACAAATATAATTCTCGAATCACGAGAATGAATTACATTACTAGATAAACTTTTACTACATAATGTCATCATGAAAAAATATAGGTAAAACTGAATCTCGTAACAATTTATTGAAAAACTGTATTTTTTATATTTTTTCATTGATTATACTTTTTGTAAGATCATAGTTTGAAAATATATTGGTTAAACAAGCAAAAAAAACTTTTAGTTTATTTAACAAATTTCATCGTTTTAGAAAAAATTTTTTTTTGTTTTTCTTTAAATTTTAATATAGATTCAACGTTTTAAATATAACAAAATGGACAGTCTTAAAATACAAATTTCAAGCTTCAAAAAATGCTCCTGTAAAGTTGCAATATCATATTTTGAACTAAAGTTATTGGACTTTAA